CCACTCCTAATTTGCTGAGCGTTAAGCAGGAGTAGAAACTACCATTTTTAAAGACTTTGGTATGTCTCGGCCAGGGGACAGAACCCAAAGTCTTCCTCACAGGGGCGAACGCTCAACAAATGGCCAAAAGTGAGGCATTGTCAAGGGAGACATTAGGAAGAAGAAAGTTATTTAGAAAGGAGAGTAGAGATAAGGTCCCAAATTTTGTCGCCTCTTACGATCATGCAATTGGGGGCAGCAGGTACAATTCTTACGCCCTACCTGAATCTATTTCAAATCAAAGCATTTACTGCGTTCATTTACCAGACACTGCAAGCGTTAATGCACTGGTGAGATTTAATGCAATACTCTTGATGCTGATATAGGTATCTGTGTTTTCTAGTTTTATTGCATATTATATAGGGAGAGCTCTAGAAGCATATATGAATTATACATTGTACAAGGAAGAGTTCAAGAAGTTCATATAAAATCATTATCTGTACATGTATGTGTATAAAGGGTGACAAAACATTTGTATGACGTCTGCAATATAGTCCAACTTGCATAGACATGCTAGCTAGTTTTAATACGTATCTTCAATTTGGCAAAGTTTTTCAATACAGCAGTAGCAAATATTTAAATAGTCAACCAAAATAACTCTACTTTCCGAAACACATACTTCCATGCTTAAGAGTCCCTGCAAGAAGGGCGTGGGAATTGTACCTGCTGCCCCCATTGCATTACCGTAAGAGGCGACCAAATTTGGGATCTTATCTTTCTAAGCAACTTTCTTCTTCCTAATGTCTCCCTTGACAATGCCTCACTTTTGGCCTTTAGTTGAGCGTTTGCCCCTGTGAGGAAGGCTTTGGGTTCTGTCCCCTGTCAGAGTTATTCAACAGTCTATAATATATACTCCTGCTTAACGTTAGCTTAGCAATTTAGGAGTGGGACGACTGGTTCGCCTGTTGTCGGTATAATGTGACCGGTGGGGGTGTCTTGCTGGGTGTCTTCTACTGTATGTTTCAGTGAGGTAGCACTATAAAGTCGGCATCAGTTCCGCGCTATCACAAGGAGACAAACACGATCATATCGCAGCCTCCCAAAATACACACGCACACACTACACGCATGTATCTTGCACACAGTAGAGGCCGTCCTTAAATGACCGTAGCTGTTGATAGGACGTCAAACAATACTAAACCTAACCAAACTAAACCAAACCAAACCATGCTTCAGTCCGAAAATTTGGAACATAAGGATTTCGTCTCCGACAACAGTTATCGTGACGGCTGGCAAATGATGACAGCTCCTCTGAGGATTTGTTCCAGTTTACTTACTTTGAAAGGACAGAATACTGTACTGGTTCCTTCTACATAGTTCATGTATATCAGTGAGGTAGTACTCTAATCCGCGCTGTTGCAATGAGACAAAATTCACCAAAATACTATCTCAATCAGATTAGCAAAGTGGACGCATACATTACACGACATGGGAGCACGTCCTTAAATGACTTTGGCTTTAAATAGGACGATGTAGCTACATGCACATATGTAATAAGACCAAATTTGTTAGCCGTAGAGCAGTTTCATTTAAATCAGATTTGATCAAAGCTCACTGGTTGTTTAACAATAGTCTAAGTGGTAAACTTGTCTCGGGGAAGGGATCAGGGAGCCCGTGGTCTTTTGACGAAATTAGTTATGGACGTGCGCCACAAGAATCTCTATGCCATCATTGCAAATAATTCTAACTGGAGTAACGGACTAGATTCTCAAGGAAAAAGGATGCAACTAATGTAGGTCTAAGGCTTCCTATAGTGAAACTAGTTTTATGTTGTCCTGAATCAATCAGTATTGTTACACATATACGACACTGTCGGACACAACATATTATCCGGATATGACAAACTGTCTGATTTGGTAGTTAACTAAGTAATTTTCGGATTACAGCGTCATATTGGATTAGACAGAATGTTGAAATCCTCCGTAATAGGATAAAACATGTTTTCATGGTTACTGTATAGAAATGTATTTCATTTAATACTTGTGATGGCGCCGGAAACCCATTACACCTTATAGTCGTGTTATACATTTGTAAAACGTCATTTTATTTTTTTACACAAACAATTAAATGATATTCTGTATTTTTGAATATGATTGATCCGAAATGCGTATTTGCAGAGTCGAATGGAAAATATGTTGTCCACATCATCAAATGTGAGGCCCTCAAATACTCAGTGTGGTAAGGCAAAAACAGACAGTATGACTATATATTGGTTTTATTCTATGAATGATTCACTGTTATTGACGTTCTATTAACGGTAGACTCAGTAATGGTGATTCATGATGATCCTTAATTTAAAATCGACTGCAAAAATGCATTTGCTTTTCATAATTGTGCAAGTTGTTTTGGATATCTATCAGCATCAAAGAACATAGTGGATTCCCTATCCTGATGTGACTGAATGAACCCAGTCTTTTTCACGTCGTTCGATTTCTAACCCAATTAACACAAACATGTCACCGGAGTGATGGTTATGGATATCATTTAGAGTCCATGTACTACTCTCGGAAACTGTAACTATTAATTTGACAAATTTTGCCAGATCATTTCTGCCAAAAAAAAACCGTGTTCTGTGAAACTTTTACGAACAAAAATTAAATAATAAAACCGACAAAAAAGCATGTATTTCAATACCAGTGTTCTGAGAGTAGATGAGAGTTGTTCAAAAAATAAGACAAATAAATAAATCACCATGGCCCCAAATGACCACAGCCGTCGATGGGCCGTTAAACATACAAACATACAAAAGATGAGAGGAAGCACGGCCGGACCGGAAATCGAATCCTGGAACTGTTTAGAATAGGTTTTGAGAACTGTACTTCTAAACATCGCAGCGATGACGCCGAAAAGAAACGCAAAACCTTATATAGTTTAATACATTATTTTCTCCCCCAACCACTTTAGGTTTCCCCACTCTGACTTCATTCGATTAACCTTCTAGGAGTTAGTAAACAAGTTTCGTTATCGACTAGTGGCTGACACTCTGGGCGTTATCTCATTGGTAAAGTCACGATACTTTGCGACGTCATTTTCTATTGTGACGTCAAAAGGTTTCCCAATTGCTGATGGTTAAGTATCATGTTTCTCTATCTCCTGTTAGTAAATTGGCAAATTGTATAAGACACTCTGTTAACTCAGTGTCTTTATACAATTTGAAAAACAACAAACTTCCGTTATAAAAACAAGATAACCAACCTTCACTCGTTTTGGAACCTTTAAATATCCAAACAATGTAATGTATAGCAACTGCAGATGTCGTGTTTTGATTTTCTTCTTGTGTCATCGCTGCTTAAATAGAGACACATTATGTTTTAATTAATGGCCATGATAACACTCGCCAACGTATTATTGAATTATTCCGATATTCTATTAAATCCAGATTGCCTTCGTCATAGAGGAGGGGCCTTTAATATTACAGTTATTCTGCTGTTAAGAATTTGAAACACACTCCGGAGAAATTGATTTGGGAAATTCAGAACGAGTCCAGAACTATAGGATTTAAAGCTCTGTCTAAGATTAAAACCTCTCCGTTATATTGAATAAGAAATGAGGTTGAAGTAGGTTTCTGATGAAATAAGCAGTTTTCTATTTACTATATCGAATACTTTTTCTGATTAAAGGATGGCTGCTCGCCCACACAATTCCCTCTCTTTCATCCAGATGTACAGTCAGATAAATCAACATTACGGTGTCTTGGAAAAAAGTATTGTTTCTCGAAGTGTATTTATTTTTTGAAATAGATACAAGACACCTTTAGACAACAGATTAAACTGTCATAGTAATGGTTTAATTTAACATGTTGAAGTGAGATTAAACATATGCATGCTACATTAAGAATATAACTCCGAATATCATTAAAAAATAGCATGTCGTAATACAAATATAATATGCATGTCAAAGTATAAATTTACTTTGTATGTCATAATAAAAAATATATTATGCATGTCACAGTATCTATTCACTATGTACGTCTCTATAAGATTCACTCTGCATGTCATAATAAAAATCTACTATGCATGTCACAGAAAGTATCTGCTATGTACGTCGCAATACAACTGAGTATGACCGTATTACTAGATATGACACAGCGCAGACCATTTCACAACTGCTGAATTTTATAAAGTAATTCTACAAACACCAAACGCGCATGTTAACCAGAATGACGTCAAAAGATAAAATGACGTCGTCACATTGACGTTGACATGCGCAATTCAGATTTGTTATTCCAACAGTTAAATTGAAACTATTCGATTCTATTCTGCATATCAAAGTACATGTAAAATCATGTGTTTTTTTATTTGAATTGTGATTTAACATTATCCGGGAGACGTATAATATTAATCCTATTAAGAGCGGATATAAATGGATGCGTTTATGGATAACGTCGCATTTTACTTGTGATAAAGTGATGGTTTTAAATAAAACTATCAGTTTCAATTACTAGATGTTATTTCGTTAAACAATTGCAGAGTAGCATCAATGATATTTAAACGTTTTTTTATATACGAACCACATTGACAACACCACTGACTGGTGTATCAAAGCTCACCTCTACGTGATATATAGATGTGTATTGTTGGAATGATAGCATCATTGTAGTTTTAATGTCGTTCATACACTTTAGATAAATGACCTTATCAGATCACGTAGTGACCCTTGTACATCAATCAGTCTGTAGGGATCTGCACGGAAAATAGTTTTCGTAAAATAATGCTGCAGTTGTTCTGCATAAATAAAAAAAGTTAATAGAAATACAATCGACTTGCGATTTCAAATTGTAAACTTACAGAGTGTATAAATAAAACGTATTTCGACGCGATGTTACACACTTATACATAGAGACGTACCAGGAAATATCACTTCTAGCAGTTCGCTACGTTGGACCTTATTTACAAAAATACATCTTTACTGACTCCGCAGGACAATTCTACATTTAACAATAACAAATATTGATATACTTACTCAGGGGTAAGCAGAAGAAGAACGGGAACCAGCAAAGAAGGAAGACACCCACCACTATACCAAGCGTCTGAGCCGCCTTTTTCTCTCGTTTGAACTTAGCAAGCTTTCCAGCAATAGTAAATTTGGCAACCACTCTCCTGGAAGAGTTGTCGGAATGTTCCGAAGAGCTACTGCTTTGATATGTACATGGGATGCCATTTTGGCTATTGGCTCTTCCGGTGTGCACTCGTAACGTCACTCCCTCCGATTCCAGTTTAGAGAGTTTGATTCCTGTTTGTAAACACGCTGAATGTTTCACTGCCTCCTTGTAGATTCTAATATAGACAAATATAATAACTGAAATAGGGACATAAAAGGAAACTGACGCTGAGACAATAACGTAACCCAATTCCCCATTCACGGTACACTGCGTTGGATCAGGGGATTGTGGTTCCTTCCAACCGATAAAGGGAACCACAGAAATGGCGGCAGAAACTATCCATACGAAAATGATGACGTAACACGCTTTTTTCTCTGACATAATTGTCGAATGCTGAAGCGGTCTAGTCACTCCAATGTATCGGTCAACACTGATAGCCGTCAGTGTTATGATAGAACCAGTGCACCACAGCACATCGATGGCTGCCCAAATTTCACAGAATACTTCACCGAATGGCCAGTAACCGATAATTTCATGAGTTGCTGAAAAAGGCAAAACTGTTATACCCAACAACAGATCGGCACATGCTAGGTTAACAATAAAATAATTTGTTGTACTCCTCAGGTGAGAATTAGCGTAGACCGCTATGAGGACTAAAACATTGCCCCCAATTATAACACAAATCACAAAGCTTAAAATGGCACCAACAACCACAGCTTTCGTGATATCCACATGATAAGTATTGTTTTCTATATCTGTAAAATTCACCTCGGAATTATTATGAAGATTTATCATGTTTATGGAACTTTTGAATAGTTGAACATCTCTTGCCACCATGTTACCTCTGTGGCAGGGCTTAGTGTCAGAATGATACAATCGTGGCGATACTCGACGCCTTAGTAGCCACAGCGTTACTCGCCTGCAAATCGATCTCTCTCTACCGCACGTGACTCGGTCATTGTGAACGCTGAGATACGCCTCCTATCCACAACTCGCTCATATCCTCAGAGCTGTCACACCTGAACCTGATTATCAACACTAGTAATAACAAAGCTTTACTTTCTCTTCTTTACATTGGAGGAACACTTAACTAATTAGTGCTAAATATACTCTGTTTCCACATCATCTGACTGATAGTAATGTCGTGGGCATGTCTGGAAATGTAAGATTTCATTGTCAGCTGTGATTAATTTCTTTGTTTGTATTTAGATTGACGTCTTTGCAACAACCTAAGTCAGTGGATATCGCAATCACCTTTCATCTCCACGTTTGGGGTTCAACTCCCCGACCGCATGTTAAAAGGTATGAAGTCACCTTGTCGACGGTGTGAGTTTTCCCCGGGAACTCTGGTTTCCTCCTACATTAGGACATCCTGCACGCTGCCATCCGTGCCAACAACTTGTTTCATAATTGTTGTAAAATACATAAAGCTTATATTTCCATGAAAAAATGATGAAAGAATATTTTAATGAAAAGTAAAAAACGAATATCTCAAGTTTTCGCACTGGGTGCAGCAGATCAATTTTGTTTTGTTCTTCACTGTCTTCGTAGTAGAAGATATAAACATATTCCGATTCTGAAAGGGGCACGTTAGTCGCCTCTAACGGTAACATGCAGTGGTTTGGTTTGGGTTTATATTGTTTAAATGCAATGAGAAACAGCAGACCCAGTCCATCCCCGAACCTCCACGTGTTCTTTTTGTATCAACGTTTCCATTTAGTTTTATTGATGCGTAAAAACGCTCTCGTTGTAATTAACGTTTGAGTCTAATTAAACGTTTACTGGCAATAACAGAGCTGCACATGCAGACCTCTACGTTAGTGTCTTGAACTTTGTGGTAAGTATCCCATACACTTAGTTTGATAAATTTCTTTAAGGCAATTTCATAACATTTGAACTCACATTCCTTAATTAAGTTTTCTATTCACTTTGCAATTACTTTGACTACCCTATAGTGATTGTTTTTGAAGCACAACACATAAATACAATGTATATTATGAAAGGTTACAATTTGCGAAGTTTTATTTTTTGTGATATTTGAGGTAACAATTTGCTCCCAAGAACAATGAGTAATCAACAAAATACTATGTTTGAAACATGAGAAAAAAAACAATTTCCTCGCCTTTGTCGAAATTGAAACACTTCAACAACCGTAAATGATTAAGTTTTATTGTTTATCACTGAAATAAATGTTACAGACAGAACCTCACGTTTTTATCTGATAACCCTATAAATAAACTGAATTACAAAAGTGAGAGTTAAATAGCTTCACATAAACAAACAATAAATTATATTTAGTTTGGTTCATCACATTTTTAAGTAACTGAATATATAATATTGAATAAACGTAGTCCAATTTTTTTTACAAACTGGCTCAGAAGTATAAACTATAGCGAGTAAAGTACTACAGTTAATACTTTGAAAGTGACACACACTACTAGAGTTGTATTTTTATAATGTATCCACTATATCCTCCAGGATCACCAGATAGTGTCAGGACTGACCAAGACACTATAGCTTAATAGCTTCAGAATGACGGGACAAATGTTCGCATTAAAGACATTCTAACTATTCTTAACATCTTGTGTGCTACTGTATTACGCAATTTATAGCCCTTAGATATCTCTTACCTTTTTTATATAATTGTCAATGCAAACGTAGTTGATAGACCAAGTTCAGAGGTGTCCATTCAAGCGAGGTATGGCCAGTTAAAAGGAAACTTCAGAAAAGTTTCAGCAATTTCATTTGTTTTGTTATTTTTTTGTTACTTTTTGTTATTTGTTTTTGTTATTTATGTAGGCCATTCGACATTTTTGAGTCATTTAGGGCCAAACAACACTGTAAATATAGACATTTACAAAAATGAAATCATCAACCAAAAAATGAATGAGTAAAATGGCTATAATAAATCATTAGCTAAAAGTGCAAAATATATCATTTGTTATCGTAAATAGCAATTGAGTGTAACTAATTACATGATGTTAATTGCACAGAAAATGTTAACTTTTCAGAGACAGCACATTATCAAATCTGAAACGCATTTGTTTGAGATCAGAGCATTCAATCATGAAATGTTTCAGCTCGAATTTCTGGTCTTTATCTACTAGCAGCATGGTAGCAAAGGCTTTGCTACAGACTTGCATGTAACTTGGAGATCCCCTATCGCGAAAAAGGTCCGTATGACAAACTTAAAAGTTTACATTTCTAGAAAATTGCTATGCACACGTACATGTATGACATTTTACCGATATTACCATTTTAGTTGCTTTTAATATACGTAATATCTTTTGAGTTTCTTTTGACGCTGAAGGTCCAAAATGACCTTCTAATATCGTGGAGTTGTTCAACCTCAACAAACAAACATGTCGGAATTTGTGGAAACGAAATGGTCGAAAAAACTGCAAAACCTGTACTCAACCCGCAACCAAACAGTTCCTTAACTCTGAATTTAAACTAGATATTACTAGTGTCGTCGAATTGAACTGACAACGAAGATCGTCTCATAGGATATGCATATTGTACTCATGTGTACTTACTTAGGTGAAAAGTTAGGCCCTTCTGTCATTTATATAACGAACATATTACTGTATCTCACAGGTTCGAGACAAATATTATGATGTGACTATATGAAAACATTCCTCAGTGCGATGAAGTTTAAGATACGTACATTAATACTCACAATTGCATGTATGCAGAGTGTAACATTTTACCATTCAGTTTCTTTTGGTGGATTAAATTGTGTTATCGACCCTTCACATTATTGTTGTCAGAACCGATGTGACTTTACTGTTACTGGGGCGTTAAACAACTAGCTCTCTAACAAACCTATGTGTTAAAAGAGTGGGAAAACATCTTGCTTTCCTCAAAATATTAATAGTGATTTTAGCAATTTAAGAACGATTCCTTTACGATGGACACTTTCATATTGCGCAGCGCTTTTAATTGAAAGTTGCGATCCGCCCTAGCTATGACATCACCTTAAAAGAGCGGATATCCTAAATATAGAAGAAACAAACCCGTAGTGAGATAATAAATTCAAAAGACCGTTCCCAGCTTCTTCTAGAACACTCCAACACTGACCATCCTTAATAGCAGACTGTTCATTCTTTTAGTTGGTGATGGAAATTGAAACTTATATGATGAATTATCAAAATATGTTATGCTTCATTGCCTGACGTCACATAAAGCACAATTTGTTTTGTGTGCGAACAAATACATTCCCTGGTGGGCGAAGAGCACATCAGCGCAATAAAATAGAGCTATTTTGATTAAACCATCGCAGTAGAGTATGAATATATTTCACAGCGGTTTTAGGTATGGTTAGCTTAGATTTCAGTTCAATGATATGTCATAGTTGAGGATATTTGTTATTTAGATATGTAATTTTGACATCATGAAGTTAGATTTTATACTTATTTTTAAGAGATAAATGATCATGTAGGCTGTAACAAGAAATCAAAGATGATACATCACAACTAACTAGTTCCCCGGTTTTAAATGTCAATCTCTTTTGTAATCAAATTGTATGCCACAAAAATACATAGAGTCACATATCTAGTTAATAAAATGCATACTTTCTCTTTTACAAGATATGAAAAAGCATTCTGGTTTCACATCAAGCAAAACCGCAAAATTCATCAAATGTCCCAATTACATATTTTAACAGTATATGAATATAAACACGCACCACACATGACATAGATCAATCAAATAAACTTAGGACAATATGTTGTTACCACAGAGAAGACTCGGTTGTTTAAGACTGCATCAAAACGAGATTGACTGACATAAGCAATGATATGATATGTCGAGGCACCAGATGTTTCCAACTTTCATACCATATCAGTTCTATCTTATCTTCTGTATACAATATACATCTATATTACTACATGTCATTTCTACATTTTAATTACATTTAATAGAATGTAAATCGAGAGTAGGTGTTATGAACTTGAAATTGCCAAACCATATATTTTATTGGTTTGCGACAACAGAAATTATTTGAACTTCAAAAGCATGAGTGACTGGATTTGATCACATAAACTTAATGGTAAAGATAAAGTAAACAAAACTATAGTCAAGTCCACTTTTAGTTGCTGAATTTTTCTTAAACATATTTCGATTAAATAGAAATCCTTCTTTTCCTTGAGATATACATGTTATAAACTAGTACATGTTTTCCATTCAGTTGCACGCGTGGTCTAGAAAGATATTCCTGTTCCTCCCAAACCACACACGCATACACTACACGCATTCATCTGACACACATGAGAGGCCGTCCTTAAATGACCATAGCTGTTGATAGGACGTTAAACACTACTAAACTAAACTAAAATTGTGGGAAATACAGCTCTCTATTTATAACTTGATAGGATAGTTTATCTGTGGTTGAACGTCTTCGTAACAGCCAGAATTACACGAGGACGGGTGCTTTGGGAGACACCGCCTGGAACAGAAAGCAAATAGAAAAGAAAGAAGACAGGAGTAACAAGAAACGAAAAATACCAAGTTTTGCAAAGGGGGCAGCAGATCAATTTTGGTATCTGAATAGACAAGGGAGAAACCATCCGATTCTGCAGAGGAAAACTTGATAGAAAGTAAGTGAGGTAAGTGCTTTTTGACAGACAAAACATTAACAATGTGAAACTTGAAAACAACCTGAAAACTGTTGGCCTGTTCGAAAAGATATAAATATCCATAACCAGTCTTTCATTTCAAGTTTAAGTTTATCTTTTACCTTTTCTTTAATTTGATTTAATTTCCATTAACATCGTTTATCGGTCATTCATTGGCTC